CAAAAATGGTCCAGTTGAGTGACTTGGGAGGTACTAGTAAAAGCTGGCCCTGAGGCTGCCACAGTGTCACTTGTCTGGTTTTGCTGCTTTTCTGGGCCTGGAGCTGAAATAAAACTGAGGCCTAGATGTTATCTTTAGGGAGGAAAATATCAGGGGTATAAATTGCCTAACTAGTGATATGAAATGGGAGGATAGGTTACCCTGGGAGTGAGCTTATTGTTTTCCCAGTTTTTTCCCTTGCTAGGCATCCAGAGCTTTCTTCTAGGTCCTGAGACAGGACTTCAAAATAGGATGAGCAGTGGTTAGGCCTCCTATGACAGTTCCAACCTTTGCTGTGATGCCAAGGGTTATTAGGAGAGGGATTATCTGAACTGCTCTTTTGTCGGATATGGTGATTAAAAATGGAACTGCTTTATGACCCAGCAATTCCATTTCTGGGTGTTTATTCAAAGAAATCCAAAACACTAATTTGAAAAAATACATGCATCCCTATGTTTATTGCAGCATTATTTACAATAGCCAGGATATAGAAGCAATCTAAGTGCCCATCAATATATGATTGGATAAAGATGTAGTACACATACATGGAATACTACTGGGCAATAAGAAGAAAGAAATCTTACTATTTGCAACAACATTGATGGATCTAGAGCAGCCGTGGGCAAACTACGGCCCGCGGGCTGGATCCGGCCTGTTTGAAATGAATAAAACTAAAAAAAAAAAAAGACCGTACCCTTTTATGTAATGATGTTTACTTTGAATTTATATTAGTTCACACAAACACTCCATCCATGCTTTTGTTCCGGCCCTCCGGTCCAGTTTAAGAACCCATTGTGGCCCTCGAGTCAAAAAGTTTGCCCACCCCTGATCTAGAGGGTACTTTGTTAAGTAAAATAAGTCATACAGAGAAAAACAAATACCATATAGTTTCACTTATATGTGGAATGTAAAGAACAAAATAAATGAACAAACAAAACAGAAGCAAACTCATAGAAACAGAGAACAAACTGATGCTTGCCAGATGGGAGGGGGGTTGTGGGGCTGAGTGAAAAAAATGAAGGAATTAAGAATTACAAATTGGTAGTTACAAAATAGTCACAGGGATGTAATGTTCAGCATAGGGAATATAGTCAATAATATTGTAATAATTGTGTATGACAACTTATTGGGGGGATCAGTCAAAGTATATAAATGTCTAACCACGATGCTGTAAACCTTAAACTAGTATAAAATAACTAGAGGCCGGTGCATGAAATTTGTGCACTGGAGTGGGGGTCCCTCAGCCCAGTCCGTGCCCTCTCACAGTCTGGGAGCCCTCGGGTGATATCCAACTGACATCTTAGGCCCGCTCCCTGGGGGAGTTGGACATCCTTAGTGCTGCCGTGGAGGCAGGAGAGACTCCCTTTATCACGGCTGCACTCACCAGCTGTGAGCTAGGCTTCTGGCTGAGTGGAGCTCCCCCTGTGGGAGGGCACTGACCACCAGGGGGCAGCTCCTGTGTTGAGCATCTGCCCCCTGGTGTTCAGTGGGTGTCATAGCAACCAGTAGTTCTGCCATTTGGTCAATTTGCATATTAGCTTTTTATTATATAGGATATTGAATGTCAAATGTAATAGAAAAAAATTTTAAAGGAAAATAAGAGACAGGAAACCACAGGCACCTCTAACTTGATTCGGCTCCTAATTCGCCATCTCAATTAACACTATTACCATCCTTTCCTTCACTCAAGCAAGAAATGTCAGCATCACCTTTGCTTCTTCTTTTTCCCTCACTACCCAAATCTGTTCTGGCAACTCTACCATAACAGAGGATCACAGAACTATACCTTTGTCTTCATCCCAACAGTGAGTGCCTTATTTTAGACCAACAATTTTTTACTGTTCATTACTTAGTTTCCTTATCTCTTATCTTTCTACAATGTTGCCACAGTTTTCTAAAATACAGATATGTTAGTTTCCTAGTCAAATATCTTCAGTAGCTTCTTGTACATCCAAAATAAACCCTACACTTTCCAGCATAGTGTTTAATAACTCTTTGAAGTTGGTATTAAATCCACTTTGCAAATTAAAAAACACACACACAAAACAACAAGTGAAGCTTAGAGAGGGAAAACAACTTGCTTAGGATCACACAGGTAAGCAATGGTAGACCCAATATTAGAATCCAGGTCTCCTCATGCCAGTGCTCTAGCCATTATAAAGTACCTTCTAAAGAGGAGAGAAAGGGTAGATACTGTATGTATTGTTAACAAGGTGGGATGGTGGTTATGCAATCCTGTTTCCTGGATGAAGCACATACTTTGAAGCTCATACAAATGAGCAAAGATCTCTGTTTTACATCTTAATAACTTTGTAGACTTGAACAACTGACAACATCTTAGAGCCTGTTTACTTACTTATAAGACAGAGAGAAATCATTCCAACCTTAAAGGGTTGTTATGAATACTATATGAGATCATGTATGTAAAGTGCTCACATACTTTAAGTTCACAGAAGCATCAATGAGTGTCATCACCAACTCTCTCACCCACTCCAGCGATCTAAAAAATCCATTTAGAGACAATGAGGAAAATAGAATTTAGACAGTGGGTCTGGGATGGACTGCAAGACTCCAGGGTCTATTCCTAGTTCTGGGTTTGCAGATAACCTTTTTTCAGGGTCTTAATCAGGTTCCTTGCAAATGGAAACCAAGGCTAGAGCTCTCATGGGATAACAATTAGTGATGTGTATGGTGAGATCTCTGACTAAAAGCAAATATTAAGTCCCAATGCCCATAAGTATGATTTGTTATTCCTCATGGCTGAAGCACTGTGGATTTTTATTAAAATGCAAATGTTTCCTGGGAAAGGCAGCATATACAGAGTGGGGCAAGAGTAGGTTTACAGTTGTTTGTATGGAAAGAATACAATAATAAATACTAATACAAAAATAAACCCTGTTTTGCATACTCACAACTGTAAACCTACTTTTACCCCACCCTTCATATTAACTTTTTGGCCTGATTAGCTTTCACTTACCTCTTTCTATGAGTAGAGTCCTTCTATGCCTCTGTGCTTTGTCCCTATTAGGCAGGGATACCCTAACCCCCATCTCATTAAAATCCTTCTCAACATTCAAAGCCCATCTAAGCCATTACCTCCTCAAGAAGTCTACTGTGATAGCTAACCAGAAGCCTTCAACTTCCCTGTCACTCTCCTTGGGAGCACCAAGTCCTAGAACTCCTGTGGTGAAGCTCAGGGACTGTGAGAGCTTGGCTGTATGGAGACCTGGCTTGAATTCCAGCTTGTACTTGATTTGTCTCTTGACTTTAGGCTAAAGTCAAGGCCTAAGTTAGGCTAATAAACGCCTTGACCTAGTTGAGCCTCAGGTTTACTGCTTGGAAAAAACAGGTGATAATAATACTTACCTCGGGGTAATAAGGGATATGATCTCTTCTTTGGAGCAATGCCTGCTATGCTGACTAGCATGGCCCCTGTGATTTGTGAATTTGGCCAATTCCTCTCATCAGACCCTAGGTCCCTTGGCACCTTTATCCTTCCACCCAGCTCAACCCTCCCGCAGGGGCTTAATGACTCCTTGTTCTCGGGCAGCTGGCGCAGCCCTGATCTACATTTTCACCGGCCATGCAGATTTTTCACAGATCAAGAAGGTTAATGAGATGTTGGATAGAAAAGGCTTGACGCTCGCCAGCCCGCTTGTGAGAATCAGAGTAGCTTGGTAACCACACAGTGACCTCATGATTAGTGCATTAGATGCGCCGGCACTTGGGGGAAGCAGAACTTCCGGGGATTGCTCTGCCGGCCTGGCGGGCTGAGACTCCGCTGGGCCGCCAGCAGGGCAGATCACCC